ATTTTATTAAAATATATTTTACAAATACACTACATGGTATTAGTATTGGATGTAGAAGGTAGTGTCAAATAAGGATTGGAAGCAAGGAAAAAGGTGATATTGGAGCAGAACCGAAGAATTGCAAAGAAAGAATAAATCATCCAAGAGAATGTAGAATCAAAGTTGATATTGAAGCAAAGGTTTTTATAAAAATAGGAAGCTTGGACAAAAGAAAAAGAATATATTGTATGACGTCAACGGGAAGAATTGCTTCAGAATTGCTGGATATGAGATCTGGAATGGCCGAAAGTCACGTTCCAATTATAAGCAGAACGAGAAAAGGTAGAATTATTGGTACAAGAAAAAGTGGTAATGAATGACCAATACACATATGAAACGGAGCGGTTGAGGGCTAAAATTGAGGCCTTGAATACTAGGGTGACAAAATTGACAGATGATTTAGTCAATATTTATCAATCACAAGTATCAATAATATCAATTTTAGAAATTCCAGAATGGATGAGTCAGGATCAACATCACTTGGAATTAAGAGATGCCTAGATCCTGAAATTGAAGGCTCAAGTCCATGAATTGGGAGAGTACAATGAAGACCATTCAGCCCAATTGAATAAAAAGCCAATAGAAGGATTGGAAGAGGTTGAAAGTTTGCATTTGGAACTAGAATCAATGGAATCAACAACGGATAATGCGGAAGTTGATGAATTGAGTAGGCTAGAGGGATAGTAATTTTGTAGAATTTTGTTAAGTAGTTTTTTTTTTTTTAGATATATATCAATTTTGTATTTACAGGGATGCTGCACAGTTAAGAGTGGAGTTATATAGAATGGATAAAAATTTATTTTTTAAGATATTGGTAAAGTAGATTAATCATTCTTTAGTAGTCAATTTAGTAGATCAGATGATTGAATTAGTTGTGAAAAATGGTTAAGTAAAGAATGACACTTAGAATCTGGAATTTTAGGGGTAAGTATATAGTAGTTGAAGAAGATATTGAAAGGGCCAAACTATGATAGTCATAAGCCGGGATAAGCTTGGTGCTATCTCTTGTTTCTTATTTATTTTGTTGTTTTAGGTTTTCATCACTGTAAAGTGAATCTATAGAATAAATCAGAGATTGATTTATAAGATATTGAGTATATAATTGAAGTATTGTGAGATTGAATTATTATGAGAAGATATTGAGAGTTTATTATCAGATTCTATAGGAGATTATTCATGGATGGAAGATTATGATTGTTGTTTATTGAGAGTTGTGTGTATTTTGACAAAAGAAGTCTGTGATTACAGAAATTGTGTGAAGCCAAATTGGTTGGAGTAGAAGTTTGTTATTTCCGGTATTGGATGGAATTTATGTATTTTGAGTGGTTTTTTGAGAGTGTAGGATTGTACTTTGTTGTTATCTGTTGATGAACGAGTATTGTTAGTGGAAGAAAGCATTGTAGTATTCTTTGGTATTTTTAGTGGTTCAGAATACGATTAATTGTATGACCCTAACATATAAGCTCATGCGGTTAGTCTTACCCTGTGTTTGAATCTCCCTCTATAGGTTTATTCTGAAAGGAATTTATAAAATAAATAAAACAATAATCACAATCATTAAAAAGAATTTTTAATAATATTATTTTTATAATTAAAAAACTAAAACTTATATTTTTTCAATAATTCTATCAATTAAGATCTAGTGGTGGAACTCACATATGGCAACCATTTGAAACTATTTGTGTAAATAGAAAAAATCCAAATCTTACCTTTGACATAGTTTTTAAAAAATAAAAATAAAAGAAATTATCAAAATAGATAATACTATCTATTAAAAGAAATAGAATGTAAAAAAAAAAATGGAATTTAATCTAGGAATAAATATTAAGAACAATTGTATATATTGGATTCAACATGTTTTTATATATAGCAATTTTCTTCTTAGATGACATTAGAAAATTACATTTAATATTTAAAAGTAAGAAAATATGAACATAAATTAAGATAACATGTGAGTGATTTTTACAAACATATATATTTATTTTAATAATTACTAATACAATATAAATAGATAGAAATAGGTAAAAGTAATTTAATTTGATAATATCTTGCAAAAAATCTTTCTAAAAGCTTTATAAAGATAATTTCATCTTTACACATGTTTATAGGTGATTAATAGATTGAGTACTTTGCCAATAAGACAACCACATGTCACATATGTTGGTAGCTTGTGATATAAGCTAACCATGTAGTGTACATATAGAAAACTTATGTTGCAATTTAAGACATGTGTCTTCCAAATTATACATATGTCTTGAAAATTTGACACGTATTAGAGGTCCTATAGAATGTTGCCCTATAATTTTACTTTTATTTTATTTTATATTTATTTCTTCTTTTATTATTTTATCTTTTTTAGTAACATAAAAATAAAATTATTCTCTTAAAGTTTTAATTGAAGTGATATCTATGATATTAAATTTAAATATATAGAATACTAATATTTGAGATATTTTTAATTTTTAAACCTTGAGGTTTTATAAATTTTTAGGCATTTATATAAATATCTTAATTTATAAAATATCAAGATTAAATCTAAATAAAATTCTAAAAAATACATTTGAATCATTTTTATTTTTTTAATTCTATTTATATTTTTTAATCTATACAAATTAAATTATCAATCATATCATATTTAAATTAAAATATGCCAATTAATATCTAATTTTTAAGAAAAATTCGATTTTTAAAAAATATTTTAAATAAATTCTACATTAGATTTTGAGCCATTAAAAAAATAAGTCGTTATTGCAATAATTAAAAATTACTTAATATAAATATTTTTTAGTAATAATTATTTATAGATGTGATGATAGATTGTTAATTTAAGATATAATTTTTTAAAAAATTATATAATAAAAAATAATAAAAATATTCATAGAGCATTTTAATCTAATTATATTATTAAATAATAAAAATAATAATAATAATAATAATAATAATAATAATAATAATAATAATAATAATATATAAAAATTGAGATTTAAGTAACTTAGTTCCTTGATCCACATATAAAAGCATTGTTATTTTAATAAATTGTAGTTCTATACATACCTTAAACATAAAATCTCAACTTATACAATTTGATAGTTTTATGAAATTATGTTTAAATAGAAACATGTCTTATCATAATATACACAATGTATATCTTCATGTACAAAGATTTCATTATCCAAAAGATATTGTAGAGGGAGAAATATTCTTTAATCCTACTAAATACATTCAAATACAATATATTCAATCTTTATTTTTAAAGCATTAGAGAATATTTTATTTACAGAATTAAAAAGTATATCAAAATAATTATTATTTTGATTTATTTTCTTATTTTATTAAATTCATATGATTAATTCTCATATTATTTTTTAAAGGATTTTTTTCTATCAAAAGAATCTTTAATCATTTAAAGGTAATATTATTTGATAGTTTTTTAAAAGACATTAAAGAATTCAATTCCATATCATTAAGTTTAAGTACTTTGCTTCTTTCTAAGGCTTTAATTGATTTAAATAACTCTTTGCTTGATAGAATTTTTTCTAATAAATTTTACATAATATCTTTTATGTTTTAAAATAAGAAATAATGATAAGAAATGACCAAAAGTCCTTATTTTTTATTTATAAAATTAAAAAATAATTAAATTAGTTTTAAATTATAAATATTGATTTATATTAAATTTATGTATTAGCAACTATAAAGCTATAAATTTTAGATATTAGATGTTTATTTCTTAACTACCTAAAAACTTCTTTTAAACAAGAGTCTATTATTGCAATCTATTTAATTCTAAATCCAATGCTTTATTTATTTGCCTTTTTTTAGGACAAATAATACTAGAATATCTTTTTATAGTTTTAGTTCACTTTTAGTGATATTATGTGGATTTAAATGAAATTTAGATTTTGTAATTAAAATTTGGTAGTAAACAATAGATTATTGTTGTATTTCTAAAAGTCTTCAACTAAGATTTTAACATCTCTTCTTCTTAAGTATCTAAGATTAAGTCTATGTGATTAAAGATTTTATTTTATTTTTAAATTTATTAAAATAATATAATTATTTTTTGTTTTTACTTTTTTTTTGACACATCAAAGAAATTAACCTCTTAAGCAAGATTTCCATTAGGTATGGAAAAAAAACATATGTATTTGCAATCCATATAGTGCTTGTAGTTTTATTTTCTATAGTCAACAATAGTATTATCTAATAAAAAACCAACAAAAAAAACTACATGAGTATTAAAAAAATTCACAAATACATCTCCTTTACTTCAATTGTTCCATCTTTGTTATAGTTATACTTAAGAACAACTTCTAAGATATGAAATGCAACTTTTTTTTAAACTATGTTATCTAATTTCTTTACATTAATGTCAATAAATATGCACTCTTTTAACAATATGATGTCCAAAGATGGTTGAAAGAATAAAAAATATCCTATAGTTAAATTATTATTGAAAAATTATTAAATCCTTGTATATTGTAAGAAATAATGTTTAAATTCATATAAACAAACTTAATAAACTTATTATTTCAATAAAATGATATATCAAATAATGATCTTAGATGTTATGGGTTATGGAGATATAAACCTCTTTTGGAAAACAACAATGGACCTTGCCATTGTTTTCTTCCTTTGTCTTGTTGACATATCCAAAGGGGATTACATTTCTCTTCTCTTTCATCAAAGTTGGCTTATTTGGCTTAGCAAGGACTATGGTTCAATCCATAAAATGAGTCTCCAATTGGTAAAGATATCCGTTGTCAAAGGCAACAACGGTTATTACCCCTCTTCCTGCGTTTGTTGGTTCTTCCGATAGATTTGATGTTTGAATGGGAGCTCTTACATCATTAATTCAAACAACTTGTCTTGGACTTATTCCAAAAAGTCTAAGATTTAAACAGGAAAAACAAAAACAAACAAAACAAAAAACAAAATTACAATGAATAGTGTGAAGCATGTCTAAATTTGAAGGCGTCTAGATGTGTTAGAATTGCAGATCTGATCATCAAGCACATGAATTATTGGAACCTTTCCATAGAATCACAGAGCGCTATCCTGTGATTGTGATACCCCTAAATCTGGACCTGGTAAAGTTATAGCAAGTTTCCCTATAGTTCTGAATACCGTTATCGCTTGTAACCTTGGCGACTTCACGACCGAGCAGCAACACAACAACATCCTCCATGTAATTTATGCTTACCAGACCTTCATCCTCGATTAGGTAAGCAACTGCAGATTTGTTGACTTTGCACCCTGCATCCAAGACAACATCCAACCTGGTATGGAACCAAGTCGGTGAGAAAGGGCCCAAAGTTCCAGCAACGGTGTGAACCGATCCTTGCGCCTTGCACAGCGAGACCGACAGAAGGCATACGCCACTAGACATCACAGTGCGTGTGATCGAGCCTATGTGTTCTACAAGCTGCCTCTAGTAACATTGCGACAGCCTCTGCACCAGCAGTAGGTAGGTATGATGTACACATACTTGCAATAGGATTAAAAAGAATTCTTTGTTAAGCTACATTACTACCAACACAATAGCCTGTGCAAATCAATGGAGGGGCTTATTAGTATCTCAAGAAGTGCGATGCCTTGAGAGGAATCATTTTATCACCAGCATCGTATCCTCCGTCTTCCAGTAGATATCGAGTGTACAAGTTAACTTTTCTCGTGCACTAATAAAAAAAACATTCCCTTTCCTCTAGGATCTCAAGACGGCAGAATTCAGCAATTTTTTTGACAATCTACAAGCGATTCCTCAGTACAAGCTCTTAAGGCTTCTAAAACATAAGCCTAAGACGAGACCTCTGTTATACCACCCCATTCGCAGCGAAGCAAAAGTTCTATTCATGCTAAAGATTTTGCAATCCCAAGAGGGAATAACAAGTTGTCGTATATGAGGGTCATTTCTGCAAAACACAGACGAAATCTCTGTGATTATCGTTGTCATGATCCCATTGCTTACACCATTGGAGCAAGAGTAGGCACAATAACCTGGGAATTCGTATGGCAAAATACAATCATATTACATCAACCAACATACCTTTGGGCATTCCACCTTTGTTCTCACTGTTGAAGCACCTGTTTCGTGGTTCACGTATGCCTTTCAAGATTTGAGTACAACCCTTAAAAGTTTGTGAAATACTTCCACAGAAAAGGACATGCTGATGTTGGAACCACACATTTTTATCTACGAATTCAGAGATTGTCGACACGCTCCCCCACAAAAAAATCACGTCTCTATACAGAAGCAGCAGCATGGAGTAGATTTTGCGAATAGATCCCTGCTAACACGACTGCATCAGTAAAGTAACACCAATATCAGCTGATATACAAATGTTCAAATCTTGAGATTTTAAAATTTTCAGCGGCCAGACTGAACCACTTCCAAACCTCGAGAGGTTGGCTCTTTTGAGGACAGAAAATGTCGACATACTTTAATGACAGGCACAACCGGAGCTGTGTAGTTTCCAGGCTTTGATCTAGCATTTCAAATAGTACTATTTTACTGCACCAAAATGTTTAGCCAATTATACAAAATAACAAATATACAAAAACAGAAACTAGCAGCTTTGACTCCCTGCACCCTAAGAAACATATTGGTGCTTATGCACGATTTACTATTCGCCAGCCTAACATTAAAAATCAAAGGTCGACTTTCAATAGTGAGAAACTAGTACTACACAAAATACAATACGAGCAACGAGGATCTTAAAACGGTTCACTTACATTCCAGACAAAACAAAGAAAGGTTGTATATTCTTAATGTCATTTGGAAGACTTGATGGACTTAGACTGCTTTCTTGCAAGAAATCTGGCGCGTGCAGCATTGACATCTACAGACCGTGCTTCCTGATCAATGGGATTCGATGCAATAGCTTTCTTCTCTCCTTCTGAGATTTTCTCCTTTTGGGACTCATGACCACTCAGTCCACTGAGACTCCGAATATTAATGTTCTGTAGCTTTTCCAAAATAGGGACCACCCACTCTTTCTCAACAACACAAACATGACGAAGGAAAGCGCGCGAGCTGGCCATAAGCTCGTGGTACAGGATCCACTCAGGATACAGACCATCTTCATCCACCTGGAGCGGACTAGTTGCCGGATGGAGCTGAACCAGCTGAGATTTGTTGCCAACAGTATGATACCCATTATGTTTGGGCATTCGTTGCGCCAATCTACAAGCGTACCCTTGACATAAAGCTTTCCGCAGTGAACGTGCACTCTTGATCTTTTGCATGGCCTCATCATCCTCAAATTTTTTCCTTGACGTGATAAGTGCTAGTTGACGTCTCACATCCTTGGCGAAGAGCATAGATCTGATATTCAAATTGTTGCTTCTACACCATTTGATATCAAAATTATTTTTCTTCCACAACTCATAAATTTGCAAGTACTGCACATGATCCCCGTAATTATTTCCATTTGGCAGCTGCTGATCCTCTCTAGACCTCTTTCTATCTTCACCTTTCTTCGGTCCTTGCATGAAGATTGTTTCAGCGGAAAGCATGGCAGCCACAGTCAGGGCTTGGGAAAGACAACCAAGGTCCTCAGCAGCCAATAAAGTCCTTCCTAGAGCAGGTTCCAATGGCAGCTCTGCAATACGCTTTCCGAGGGCAGTAATCTTACCATCTGGACCGATAGCATCAATCGCGAACAGCTGGCGTAGAGCATCTTCCAGTGACTCTCTCAATGGTGGATCGATAAAGTCGAAGTGCAGGATATCCACATTTGGCAGATCCAGAAATTTGAGATGTAATACAGCGCCCGTGAGAGATGATCGTTGAATTTCTGGAACAGTGGCTGGAAGAAACTCCTCTTCAAATGCAGACATCGGATAAAGGCGGTAACACTTGCCTGGACGCGTCCGCCCTGCTCTACCTGCCCTTTGAGTGGCCTGCACCCTACTTATGCGTACAACAGAAAGTGAGTCCATGCCAGTGTTGGGATTATAGTTCCGTTGCTTCACAAATCCAGGATCAATCACATACACAACACCGTCCACAGTAAGAGACGTTTCTGCAACGTTGGTCGCCACAATAATGCGCCGGCAATTGGGAGGGGCCGGTTGAAATACACGAGCCTGGACCTCTGGCGCTAAAGATGCATGTAGTGGAAGTATTATGGCGTCAAGACAGGAACCCTCCTCCAGCATGAGAACCCTCTCTTCCAGCATCTTGAGAACCTTCTCTATCTCATCCTGTCCAGTGAGAAAAACTAAAATGTCCCCTTCAGGTTCTCTGACATGTACATCGATTGCTGTCTCTACAGCAGACTCCAAGTAGCTGCTAGGCACCTCTGTGCTGTAAAGGAGTTGCACAGGATATAATTTGCCAGGAACGTTGACAACAGGACATCCGTGAAAATACTCGGAAAATTTCTGCCCGTCAAGAGTGGCAGATGTAATGATCACTTTCAATTCAGTATCCCGATTCTGAGCAATACGCTTCAACAGGCCAAGCAATATGTCTGTATTCAAACTGCGCTCGTGAGCCTCGTCAAGAATGATGACAGAGTACTGTTTGAACTCGTAATCAAACAAGCATTCACGAAGCAAGCAACCATCCGTCAAGTACTTTATGAGTGTATTTTTGGATGTTCGGTCTTCAAATCGAATAGAATATCCCACTTCGTCCCCTAGCTGAACATCCATTTCCCAAGCCACACGACGTGCAACAGAAACAGCAGCCACTCGCCGAGGCTGAGTAACACCAATCATGCCTTTCTTCGTGTACCCTGCTCGGTGCAGAATCTGCGAAAGTTGGGTGGTTTTACCCGAACCCGTCTCTCCAATGACCACCACAACACTGTGCTTGGCCACAGCATCCACAATCTGCTCCTCATACTGGTTTATCGGCAACAGCTTGCGCCCCTCCATCGCAATCAATTACCCACTCCGGTGCAAGTGAATAAATTAATACAGCAAAGAGATGGAGCAATTAACCATATTCAACGATTGATTGGTATACGCCTGAAAGAACAAAACGCACAAACATCAACTCCTGACATTTCGAAAATCCTTACCCTAAGTAACGGTGACAAAAGCGTAATTGAAAAGAACATACACCAATCTAAATTGATACACTGTAGACACAGCCATACCCTCATCGCTCAATTCTATTGCAAAGCTAAAATTTATCATGAGCGGCGCAGGACTCTAAGAAACTCACGCAAAAATTCACTGCCCACGGGCAATGACGTCAAAAGGCAAAACATGCCTCACTCAGAAGCTGAACTGCAAAACACCGATTGTAATCCATCTCCAAAACCCCAAAACCCAATTCATCAAATCTACCGTAAGACGAGCAACACAAACCTAGTCACATGAAAAGAGCATATTGAAATCAAACACCACGCAACTGCATGCAGCGCCATGAAGTACCCAACAATTAGGGTTTCGCTTCCTCCTCAAAACCAAGGTATTTTCACAACCAACTAGGTCAACAATCAGTTGTCGTCACGAGGACAAACATAAAAAAGGATTGCAAACAACATTCAAAGTCTAGTTTTGGTTGATATAACCACACCACCCCGTTTGACCTAATTCAGTTGATCACATTCTCCACACATTTGTTTAGAAAGACATTTTAGTTGCCATTTAGTTCTCTCCAAACAATGGAGTTTTCCATGGCATCATCAAAAGTATATTGTTAGTTAAAGTTTTTTTTTCAAAAATAAATATTTGCTAACAATAAAATTAAATAAAAAATAAAAATCTTCACTATCAATTGTGACAAAATGAACCAGTCATAAGTTGTGTGGTTTCACTTTATTGCTATTGTCAAAAATGTACATGATTCAATTGGATTCTTATTTTCATTTTTTACAACTTGTTACACCTATATTTTCTTAACTATTTTTTTAATCCTTTAACTTAATGCTTTGTAGTTATAGAATATATATATATATATATATATATATATAAATAATAACATTCCCCCCTTCAAAGAAAATAATAAATTAAATTCTTTCTATCCATTACATTTGTACTATATTTTAAGATATTAAAATATATCTCAAAAAACCATTGAGTTATTCTCTAGAATACATTCAAATCCCACTTCTTCTTGTGTTTTCTTTTCTAAAATCCTTAGATATTTCAGATTACATATAAAGTTTTTTGTAAAAAGGCTATGAAGAAATGAGACTTTGGTTGAACTTGATCGTTAAAAATACACATGGGTGTGAGGCATCATTGAGGACTAAACTGCAATGACATAATAGCCCATTAGACATACATCAAAATTTGGTGCATTAATATTCTTAACTGGTGTTGGAACGCAAAGGCAAGCCCATTGACAAAGAATTTACCTTAAACAAAAATAAAATAAAATAAAATAAAACTATACTTGTAATTATTGGGATTACACACAAGAAACCCACCAAAATGGTTAAGGCTGTAGGAATCACTCTAATGCAGAAAGACAATCAAATAAAGTTGCACAAATTGACTGATCAAGTACCCACGCATAGATTTCTTAAATTAAGAAGAATGTTGCATAGCAAATTGAAAGGGAAGGCACTACACCACCAAAATATAATAATATGCCAATACTAACAACTTGGTTGTGCTTTTTGTTCGAACGGGCTTGAAGTACGACAAGACGAAAGAGGCCGCCACCACAAGAGGGTTTTGGCCGATACACTGACCTAAACCCGGTGAACGTAAGAATGTAAAAAGTAACGTTTCGAAGAAAGTAACTTTTCCCAACTTCTAGTTTCAAGCCCTCACAGCGTCTCTAGAACCTTAAAGTTGTCGAAACCTAAGAGCGAGAATTCCCCACCGACTCCTGAAAGAGAGTGAAGAATTGCTGTGTTTCACGATTTCGACACCAGTAAATGCAACCGATGCTCGGCCCATACGTGATTTTTGGGAGTATTTGGAGTTGTTCTAGCGGTAGAGCTTTTGAGAATTGAATGCTGATTCGTATCTCGCTCCAATTGCAGTCGTAGCTGAAGGAGGATAATATGTGAGTCGAGTTTTGTTCAAATTCTAGGGTTACATTATTCAGCGAGGGTTTTATTCTGTATCATTGTTCCGAGGAAAGGTGTGCTGGGAAGTAATGAACATCATCTTGCGAAGAGCATCGTATGATTTGTCGATATTTGCCTTGCATGCCTGCGTGAAGGTTTTCTGGTGCAATTACGATATGAATTGCAGTACTGAGTTGAAAATTTCTTTTTCTGTCTTTCTGTCTTCTCACAACAGGCTTGATGTGTTGTTCTGTCTTCGATGAATTTTTCAGGTGTATTATGGTATATTGAGATTGTTTAAGGAGATCGCTGTGGAGAGCGTTTTTTTTCTTTTTTCTTTTTTCTTTCCGAAAACCCTAAACCCTGGAAGGTTTTTCTGTTCTGTGCATTTGTTCTGTCCTCCCTGTGTTCTTTCGCTGCTTCAGTATCGTGCCATGGATTCATCCCGGCAGCAGGCTCCCTACCATGTGCGCATGGACGCTGACGACGCCCTAAAGCTCGTCAAGCAAGGCGCTACCATTCTCCTGCTGGGCGTTCCCCCCTCTACCTCCTTCGGCATTGATCAACAGGTTTGGTTGCCTGTTTTGACTGAGTTCTTTCTTTTCCTTCTCGTCCCATGGAGTTCCTAGCAATTCTTAATGGCAACTTTCTTTCGTTTCCAGATGTTTGTTGTAGGACCGAATTTTAAAGGCGTCAAGATGATGCCTCCAGGGCCGCACTTCATTTACTATAGTGCTGCAAGCCGGTGCGTGTTCTGCTTCTAAACTCTCGAAACAGCTTTTGCTGAGTCTTAGAGTACTAAATTAGACAAATTACTTTAGGCGCATTCATGTTTGTCAAACGAATCTTCTTCTCAAAGTCTTTATTCTTATATTATGAAGGGTGATGGCATTCATAGGCACGGATGTGACACTTCACCGATCACAGGCTTCTTTCTACACGTCTCATCTTCAGAGGTAGTTAATTGCCAGCTTTTCATTTTGCGTCTTGTGTCAATGCCATTCTTGGCGTCAAACTCTTCTTTACCCAACATGTAGTGGATGGTATCTATTCTTAACGTGGCTCAGATTTTCATCGACTCCAATAGACTTAATTCTAAAGAATAGAGAAATCTCGACTTTTTCTGTAGGTTATTGTGAGGATTTGGGATCCGAAGCAGGAGCGCGTTGTCCACGTTCCAGATGAAAACGAGGTATTGCTATGGCTTGTCCCCACTACATTAGGTCATAAAAAAGTATATGATCTCACCTTAGGTTTAAAAGAATCAATTGGTGTTTAGATCACTAATAACACTTTCAAGAACACATCCCTGTTAAATTTGGATGAGAGGGCAGATATCTACAACGCAGTGTTCCACTTCTGTGTTTCATGGAAGCGAGTGGTAACGGTGCTCGATACCATGATGACCTTGCAGCATTAGAGTCTTATGCAGGAGATTATTGCAGGTGGAGCGGTATGTACATGGAGTCAAGAGCATGGATTTTGATGCCAATCTAGCACCCTACGACCTTCCTCATCACGCCACCTGGTGTCACTTATCCAATTATGTCACCCAGGCCGTCATCGAGCGTCTCCGTAAGTGTAATCGATTATTCTACTTTGTTGTTTTTTCAGGCTGTATTTGAATATGTTGTAGCTTTTTAAAGTTGTTTTTGTTTATAATTGGGTCAAGAATATGCGTGCTGAGTCCAATTTCTTGCAGTTATTGTTTTTCACTCATTTCTGCATTTCTTTTCTCATTCCTGTAGTTATTGGTATTTCTAGAGCCTTTGGGTGGCGATATATCGATCATGGCAGAAGCAACCTTGGTTGAAACGGGTCCTATGACGCGAGCAGAGAAGAAGATGTTTGAGCATATTGCTAAGCTGCGACAGAAATTTCCAGATATGGCGGAGCCTAGAGATAGTGAAGACAGTAAGCCTAGCAACAGCGGCCGATGTTTCTTCACTAATCTTCCTGGCCTAGTTAAACGGACTGGTATGTCAACATCAGAGTTAACAGCTTTGAACTTGGATAAGGTATATAATTTTTTCTGCTTTCCTACATATTGGTAGTGGTATGTAGTTTCCTTCATAATGTTAGGTGATTTGTACAAGCATCGAAGTGAATGGAGCGCAGAAGGGCGGGGCCCAGTTTCAATTAAACCTGGGTTCAAAATATAGGTGTTTCAATTAAACTCATATTCTCATAGTTCCTTATTTTGATATGCAGAGTGAGCAGTTGGAAGTTGTATTAAAGAAGTTCTATGGAGGAGAAGAGGACCTCTTGTTAGGGGAGCTCCAGTTTGCGTTTATTGGCTTCCTGGTACGTATCCATCGTACTTAGTCCTAGCTTTTGATTTATTGCCAATTTCCTATTATGTGTCTTTAATGAAGGTTCTTCATTTTGACAATTGTACAGGTAGCTTGTTACTTTTCAACATGTCACTAATCTTATTTTATGTTCAATAGTCGCAAGACGTTTATTGTTTGTTAGGACCTGCAAAATCTGATCACAATACTCCTGAAGGGAACTACAGATTGTTTGAAATGCAGAAGATGCTGTGTTGTTTATCGTAGTTTCAATGTGATGGTGGGTACAGATGGGGCAATCACTGGAATCATTTGGACAATGGAAGGCCTTGGTCAGCTTTCTGTTTAGTTGCCACAAAGCAGTAAGTCATTGGCTTTTCTACATATCTGACTGAATGGGACTGTTACCCTAGAAGGTCCAGTACTATTTGTGACTCAGCTGATATGATCTTATACTCAAATTGTTTCAAGGTATGGAGTCCAGATCTGGAAGTCCTTTTGTATAATTCATCTCTACAATAATGTTTTTCATGTGCAAGTCGTGATAATTGTGTGTTATTCTGTGTGTTGAACATGTATTCCAGCCATTGCAATCTCGTACCAGGTTATTTGTCAAGGTACAAGAATCTATTCTTTTTCTTTCATCTCAATCTTCTCTACAATGTTCGTGTGCAGTCCAATCAGCTTCATTTTATTGCAGAACTATCTGACCATTGCCGTTGCACATCAGTTCTTGGACGTCCTACATTGGCAACTGAAGCAAGGTTTGAAGGGAGGTGTGTCTTCGGCACAAAGTCCTACATTTGACGACAGCTGGTTTACCGATGATAGTTTCTTAAAATATCACTACAAGGTAAGAGTTCCTTTGTCGAACATCTGACTCTTTCATTCAACAAGTTGAAATGTCTCTTTGCAGTTCTTGCATGATACTAATTTGAGAGGAGGCATTAACGCCGGAAAGCAGGCAACATGTGTTTTATTAGGCACGTGTTAGTGAATTTCTCTTTGAATTATATATGCGCTGGAGGTATCAAGCTCCAACAAATCATGATAACAGGTGCTTTTGTTGTGCACAGAATTTCGTTCACCTCGTAAGAGATGAGCACGCTATCGACGGTGACCTTCTAAACAAGGTACGTAATTTCTGCAATGCCATTGCAAGTGAGTCTCCATCTTACATGTTGAAGTGTCAACAGTACTTGTTGTATCACTAGAATCTCTCATGCAGAGGTATCCTTAACGGACTTACTGAGATGTTTATATTTTCATAAGGTTATCTAGGTTCGTCACGATTGAACAACCACAAAGACCCCCAATAATTTGAGAGGTGCATCGAGGCTTAGGTTTTGGTAGTATGCTATGAACGGGTTGTCGAAGTCATTTGCGAACTCATTCTTCTTACTCTTGACACGGCGCAGACTAAGAGACTGAGAAAATTGGTGGAATCAGTCTTGGGATGGACCATTGACGACGATACAGAACTAGATGAGGATGATGAGGTCAGCATTTCTTTACACCTGCCTCACATATCTTCTAAATGTTCAAGAGATTAGTGTCGAATGCGTACATGAATTGGGTATGCAAGAATGTTTTGGCTAGTGCATGTGCGGCATAGTGTAATCCACAGGATATTCACTTTTTTCTGACATTGGAGCTTGCCATTCAGAGGGTGAAATGCTACGTCCAATAAGATTTAGCTGTTCATTGGTGTGTTCAGTAATCTGTATATTGAAAATCATCGTAGCTTAGTTTGATTGTGTATGTTTTGCTGTGTGCTTGCAGTATGCCCCTGTGGTAGTCTCTGAGGAAGACGCTTCAATCAAGCACTATTAGTCATATCTGGACTAGAATTTTAGCATTGTATATGTACAGGCAGGGTTATGTACGAGCAAGATTATTATGAAACAGGTCGTCACTATTTTGAAACAATTTGAAGGAAACAAAGATCTCAAGTTTAAAATGCAGACATTACTTAAGGAATTGTTTCCTTTCCTTTCTACATTAATGAACTTTTTACTTCAGTTGAATTTTGTCATTAATTTAATTCTAGAGGAGTAAGGTTGTAGCTCCTCGGTTGATGTGACAGTATCACCTACTTCGCAACCAGATGCAGTAAGCTTCTCTCAGGTAATGCAAGCTTCTCTTTTGTTATTCAACTAGTCCTTTTCTATTCTTTTTTTTGAATTCAACTTTGTCTACAGTGTCTTCACAAGTTATGTACTCAGAAGGAGTGACATCTATTTTTAATAAATTAAACCGTGAGAATCTTTGAAGGTTAGATATCCAAGTTTGCTTTATTTTATTTTATTAATTCTTTTACAAAGAGCCTTAAAATATTGTTTCAAAAACACACTAATAAGCTGAAACATCCAATTGCTAAGTAATCATTTGTAGGGTCTGCGTCTCCAAATAACTATGCTGTTTTTTTACTCTTGGGCTGAGAGGAATGGTGGGTCGCACATTAATTGAGTGAAAGTTTTAATTGTAGTTGGTTGTTGTAGAGGGTGCAATAGTGAGGAACGCATGAGTTTGATGGCCACCAGGGGACATGTTTCACAGGTTTGGCATGGCTTCGGTTGAGTAGAGTTGGGGAAAAGTGTAAGAGGCTACCCGTGCCTTCCAATCAAAGACTTTGGGTGACAGCAACTGTTTTCTTACTAAATTAAACTAGGTTTCTCAAGTCTGACCCTGGAGCATGCCAGCTGGACAGATGATTCTCAAATCCACACAAGAGGTTCAAGCATTATGCTTCATTAAAATTTGTGCCACACCACCTTGCCAAGTGTTAAACTTGTGGGAATATGGTACTACACAGGCTAAAACAGAACATGTTACTATTATGGAGGAAGACACAAGCCTTATACCTTATTTTGGTGATAGTTTAAATCTGAACTTTTAATTATTATGATGCTATCATGTACAATTACTACCATATATGAAAGTTGGGTGCACAGGTAGTTTGTCATCTACATCATGACCTTGATATAAACAAATTTGAAACAAAAACTCATACAATAATGTTTGTGATAGTTTTTGCATGAAAAATAGAGTTTAAGAATGTAAATCATTCCACTAATTCTGAATAAAGTGAGTTCATTTCTATTTGATTCATTTCGACTTCTCATATACATAGAAATTACTTGAGCATTTTACAAGGTTTACAAAGATTGTGTTATTTGTTTGTAAAGAATTAAAAAACTTCAAATCAATGTTGATTTCATAATTTTCTTTTTCAAATGTTGTTAAATACAACAACATGACCTTTCTACACTTTAAAAATTGATTTATTTAAATCTTATTTATATTCAAATTATTATAATAAAATTATGCTTTTAGATTATATAAAAAATCATATTTATATAAATGTGTATAAATATGTATAATAATGATTTTTATAATAATTTATATATTTTATGTATTAAAAATATCTATTTATAAATGCTATAATTGTCACAATTTTACTTTATGTCAACAATTAATTCTAAATAGTGAATAAATGAGAGACAATTTTGCCTCCAAAACAAACCATAAATCAATGTAATAATACAGATTCAATTAAGTTTGTTATTACATTGTTTGCAACAATTAAAACAACAAAATTTATAGTCTTTATAGATTATATATATATATATATATATATATATTTGTTATGAATAACAACAAAGAGATTTAATGGATGTGAATTAAGGACATGAATCTCAAAGAAAGAAAATTTCAATATACTTTTATGTCACTCAAAAAGATTAGAAAATCATTCAAAAATGGTGTTATATTGAATTAGAATGGCTATTGCCAAAGACATGATGACTACAAAGTCTTGAAATAAGACTAAAGACTAAAAAGGCATTGATAAGAGTAAAGAAGGCTTTATTCTTGCCTCTATATATACTACCTAACTAGAAAGCTATATGGCAACATCCTAGAGGACCTCCAATATGTGACTTAACTTGCAAGGCAAGTTTTCTATATGCACACCACATTGTAAGCTTGTACCACAATCTATTCACATGTGCAACAAGTTTTTAACTTATTAATTAATTGTAAATATATATAAAGTCAAATACATGTCTATGAAGCTTCTAAAAAGGTTTGCTATAAGATAATATCAAATCTACCTACATTTATCTTCTATCTAATACTTCTTATTTAAATAAATATGTATATCTATGATATTATTTTTCCTTCTAGGAATGAGTTCTACAAGGAGTGATCATCATATACTGAAAAAGTCCAAGATGAGGCAAATTATATTTGCTACATACTCTGATCTTTGTTTTGTTTGAAGGTAGTTGATAAGTTCTCTCAGCCATTGATAATGTCTCATTCTAGGGCAAAAAGACCATCTTCTTGTTTTGTTGTTGTTGAGGACTTTGCAACTTCCTTCAAACAAAACATTTGTAACACCATCAAAATTCATTTCTATCTCCAATAAAATCATCAAACATTGAGAATCTCTTCCATGATCATGATATCAAATGCATTATATCTTGCGATCTATTCAAAGTTAAACTTGTTGTTCTTGAAGGATTTTATCTTGATTTTGACATCAAAAACAAAACCAATCTAAGATTCTTCAAATCTATAACAACATAAAACTTCATCGCAAAGTAGTATAAAATTGACTAGAACAAAACTAAATAAAATTATACACAAAATACAAAACTAAACAAAATAACACATGAAATGCAAAACTATGCATATGGAAATAGAAAAAAACAAAACTACATAGAAAGATACAAAATCAAACTTTATTAAGAGAGAAGGTCCAAAGCCATACTTGATCAAATGCCCAAAAGGCCCTGGCCAATCCTATTTATACTTTATTCTACCACCTTGGACTTTCTAGAATGTCCTTAGATGATGGATCCCACTTAGATAGATCCAAATATGTGGCAAAAGCTCAAGGTGGTATGCAACATCAAAAATCATTGCAGAAATGTAGAAAGGTTCAAGCCACTAAGGTGCTAGTTTACAGATTTGGGTTGATGTAGCAAGTGACAAGTTGGTATTAGAAAGTAACACCTAATCACCTTCTCGGAAGGTCTTATGCTATTGGTGGTTATCTACATATTGCTTCTACTAAATCTGTGCAGTGTCATGTTGTGATTCAACTATCATGTGAAAATATTGTGTTTATATGTTTGATATAAAATTTACTAAGTAATATAATAAGAGCCATGTTAGTAGATTTTAATTGGTTATAGAATGTAGTTAGATTACTACTTTAAAAAGAAGTTGTTTAAAAGAACTACTATTAGAATTTACATAACTTTATTTTCTTTTGATAGTATCTTTTAAGATTAATTTTGGTTGATAGTAACTTTTACATATTTAAAGTTACCTTTGTTAGACATTGGTGATCCTTGAAGTCTTATTTTGTTTCTTTTATTTGATGTTTAGGGCATGTATTATATAAATCTTATTAGAAAAGGAGTTGTAGAGGGGTCTTAGTAGCAAAAAGAAAAGTTAAAGCATCTATATGGATGAATGGAGATGGATGATAAAAATCTCCATTCCTATTGGCCAAAAATCATGCCCAATGGGCTTCAAGGAGGCTGCTTGAAGCTTATTAGAGATTAGGGTTATTTTTTTGAAGCCATTCGAAGTTTGGAGGCTAGAATTAATAAGTTCAAAATTTTCACTATAGTTTTGGTAAAAAATTTGTGTCATTTGGAGTTTATATGAAAGAGATATAGGCACTCAAAGCTAAGGTATTGATTTTGTATCTATTGTCACTCTTTTGGATATAATGCTCATATATAGAAAGAAATAAAGAATCGGCAATTAGGTTTGGCATAGTTACACTTTTGGCATACTGATTGATGGATTCCAAGCTGAGATAAAAGAGATATTAGAGGCTGAAGTCAATGCATGCAATTTAAAGGTAGTAAGTAACTCAATTTATTAGTAGTTGTATTTTGAGCTATATCTTGAGCAATTTGACAAGATTTTGGCTCAAAACTTTTTAAAATGTATATAATCATATAAATAAACTTTATACACCAATTTTGTAGCATTTGAGTTTTGAATTTTTGAGATATAAAGAAAATAATGGTCGAGTACTTATAAGTTAGGGTTTAGAGTACTTACTAGGATTTTAAAGATTCCAAAAGCTTAGTAGCAATTTTATAGTTTATTTTTTTTGTTGTAAAGTTTAAAAATAATAGCTACATCATACAAGCATTTGAAATAAATTGAATGGTTGGATCAAGAGATATGAATTTCTAAAATTTAAGAAGAAAAAATCTTTTGCGAAAAAATATGTTTTGAAGGGTTTTGCTACAATTTCGTCATTTTATATAAAGTGAAGAGGTTTTGAAAGTGAAGACTTTGCATATAAGTTAAAGGTGGAATACATCACTTATTAGAGTATAGCCAATGAATTAAAATTAAACTTTCTACAACTAGATTCCAAGTGTATTTCTAGATTGCAAATCATGCCACACAATAGTGGTAAAGAGGCAATGCCATGCCTCTTGTAAGGCCATTGTAAGCTATTGTATGAACTCTTCTATTGTTGAGTTGTTGGTGTCAATGAGAGAATAGAGAATTATTAGCATAATCAAATATTGACCATTATTAAAAAAAATAGTGAATGATTGATACTTCCTTGAATACTATTATTATAAGCAAACTCTAAGGGCGTCAAATATTCATCTCGATCATTATGATGAACTATCATAAATACCCAGAACATATCTTTCAAGGTTCAATTTACACGCTTTATTTGTCCATCTATTTGGAAATGGAAGGCTATAGATATGGCAAATCATATATTTAGTAGCTTGAATAAGGCTTGCCAAAAACTTCCTATGAAGCATAGATTGTCATTTAAAACAATGACACAAGGTAATCCATAGTGACAAAAGATAGTATGAAAGAAGATCAATGTAAGTACTAGGGCATCAATATTCAAGTACATCACAGCAAAGTAAAGTTACTTCAAGAGTTGATCAACAAAAATAGCAACTATAATGTGATTATAAGACGTTTGGGACAAATATGTAATGAGATCTATAGTCATTTATTTCCAACATACAATAGGTACTAGAATTAGCTGCAATAGTCAAAGAGACACTATATTCCATGCTTTATTATATTAACATGGCTTATAAGAGTGAACAAAAGCTTGAACATTACAATCCAAATCTGTCAAAAATCATATCCTTGAGATCCATTCTAGAATCTTCTCTTGCCTTAGATGTCCAAATATTGAGATATCATGTCCCTCTTGAAGTATGCGCATTCAGAGTATAGTATTATTAGGTATATAAATCCAGTTCTTGAAATAGAGCAAGCCATTCTTAAGATTGTAATCTTGATACTATGTATTGCCAACCTTCAGTTGATCACTAACCATCTTGAAATAAGCATCTTGATGAGTAGCTTCCTTTCATTTTTCTTCTTTGATTAGGTTTAAAATGACACTACTAATGGTAATGACTTCTACCTTGTCTTTCAATTCAGCCTTCAAGTTAGGTCTCGACTATAAGTTATCTAGTATAGTATGTTGTTGTCCTTGCTTGTACTCAAGCTGGATATCAAAAAGCTGCAAGTATTTTTTTCAATTATAATATCAAGATTTCATATTTTTTAGATGCAAATCATATAGTAAGGATTGATGGTCAATCTGAATAACCATTGGCTTCTCCAATAAACAGTGTTGCCAAACTTTTGTAGTTTTTACAATCGCTAATTCTTCTTGATTATGTGTAGAGTAATTGTGCTCTGCCCTTCTAAGCTTATGTAATCCATACGCCACAAATTGAAGGCTCCTAGCAAAGTCTTGTTGGAGGACCCCTTCAATAGCAAAGTCAGAAGCATCAATGTTAAGTATATAAAGAACGTTGAAATTATATAGTTTCAATATTGGAGCATAATGAATGCCTCCTTCAACCTATTAAAGGTACTTTGCTGCTCCAGATTCTATTTAAATGTAGCACCTTTCTCTAAGAGATTTATCAATGAG